CACACACACACACACACACACACACACACACACACACACACACACACGGCTCTAAGGGGCTGCACGTTACATTTCTTTTAGGTTATCTAATTTCATTTGTGCAGCAGCCTCCCCTCCCTGACATGCCATTGCCTAGTTTAGGTTATTACCTGTAGATAATGGCTATTTTCTTTGCTACTTGGTTATGGCCAATGACATTTAACTTGGTAAGGAATGGAAAGAAGTACATTTATGAGTACCTGATATTTAAATGTATAATTTTTTTTAAAGAATTTGCTTTCCATTCCAAGTAGTCCTCACCTGTTTGAACATCAATAACCATCTGATGGCCTCCTCTCATTCCTGGTCGGTTATCTTCTCCATCACCTGAAGTAGAAACAATATTTTCTTTAAAGAAATACCACAGAACAACTGCATATCCAGAGTAACTTCATTCATAAGTCTGTAATGAGTAGCGAGAATAACACACACTTATTCTTTCAATATTAAGAATAAGAGGACTTGTAAGAGACATAATATGACATAACTAAGTTTATAATAATTATCTTGCTCTTTTTTTCTAATTGCTTTCAGGCTCTTAATGCAACTGGAAGCTACTTTCAACTTATTTAGGACCAATGCCATAAATCAGCAAAGACACAGGATATTCCACAAAAACGTAAAATCTCTAAACTAGTGAAGTGACAAAGTGAAGATGGAAAACAATCACAGAACTAGATCACAGGTCTATAACTCCAGGCATGGTTTATTAGTATAATGAGCAGTTTTAAAGTTCATAAAACCAGCTACTGAAAACTAAGATGCTATCAAGTTTTACATTAATGATAATTTCATCACTGTATTAATTTTGTGCCAATATTTCAAAAATCATCTCCCACATAATCTCCCAGCTATTTTATTTGAGTAGTACTGTCTGACAAAATGTAAGATTTGCTTCCCTTTGATTCTTATTTACATCACAAAGCTTAATAGGCAGGTTTAAATATAATCAGTGAAAACTTTAAACCTCTGAAGAAAAAAACTATTGTTTAACTTATATTTATCTTATTTTATATCAGATCTTTTATATATAACTTAATTTCAATGGTTCAAAAGGTTACAGGATTCTAATGCCTTACTTGATGTAAACCAGAAAACCTGAGGTTTTCTTTGTAACTCTCCCATTAACTGAAATACATTACTTTAGGTAATAACTTTCCCTGTATCAGCTTTCTCCTATGTAAAATAGGGAACATCCAATTTTTTTTTAAATTGTGTTTTTTAGGTAAAAGGCATTTTTATTTTTTATTTATGTATTTTTTGGCCACGCCATGTGGCATGCGGGATCTTAGTTCCCCAGCCAGGGATCAAACCCATGCCCCCTGCACTGGGAACCCAGAGTCTTAACCACTGGACTGCCAGGGAAGTGCCGGGAACATCCAAGTTTTTACTAATCCCACAGGGGTATTATGAAAAAGACTGAAATATCAGTTCTTGTATATTATAAATAAGATGCAAAACTGAAGCCATATTCAAGCACTAATCATTCAGAAGTTTCCTGCAAATTCTGTCTCCTTTTTAATAGCTAGGTTTAGAATTTATAGCTCATTATTGTTGAAGTTTCACCCTTTTTTTCCTTCTTCCCCCAATTAGTAAAGTCAGTATTCCCACTTTCAAGAACAGATTAAGAGGGAATTCCCTGGTGGCACAGTGGTTAAGAATCCGCCTGCCAATACAGGGGGACACAGGTTCAATCCCTGGTCTGGGAAGATCCCACATGCCGTGGAGCAACTAAGCCCGTGCGCCACAACTACTGAAGCCCGTGTGCTCTAGGGCCCGCATGCTGCAACTACTGAAGCCTGAGCGCCTAGAGCCCATGCTCTGCAACGAGAAGCTACCGCAATGAGAAGCCCGTGCACTGCAACGAAGAGTAGCCCCTGCTCACTGCAACTAGAGAAAGCCCGTGTGCTGCAATGAAGACCCAATGCAGACAAAAAAAATAAATAAATTTAAAAAATAGGGACTTCCCTTGTGGTGCAGTGGTTAAGAATCCAGCTGCCAATGCGGGCAACACGGGTTCGAGCCCTGGTCTGGGAAGATCCCACATGCCGCAGAGCAACTAAGCCCATGTGCCACAACTGCTGAGCCAGCTGCGCTCTAGAGCCCGCAAGCCACAACTACTGAGCCCATGCGCCGCAACTACTGAAGCCCGCGCACCTAGAGCCCATGCTGCACAACGAGAGAAGCCACCACAATGAGAAGCCCGCGCACTGCAACAAAGAGGAGCCCCCACTTGCCGTAACTACAGAAAGCCCGCGCGCAGCAAGACCCAACGCAGCCAAAAATAAATAAGTAAAATAAAAATTTTAAATAAATAAATAAAGAAGACAGATATTTGATCATTAAAAAAAAGAACAGATTGTCAGTATGTTTGCCTTTTATATATTTAATCCATTAGTTTTCAAATATAATAGTCTGCTACAACATGCACTTCTGAAGAAAATTACCTCATATATGACTGATAAAGCAGGAAAATGATGCTTATATAACTCAGAAATCATGGAGGTTCATAAGCAATTTTCTCCAGTATATTAATGTTTAACACTATTTGAAGAAAGCTTTCTCACACTTAAAATGAAGGCTTTAGCAATGTATGAAGACCACAGGAGGTGGTCTTCAGCTTGAGGGTCTACAGCTCAAAGAAAGAAGCATGAGCCCCAGGGTTTAAAGCTCCAAAATCACTGTGATGCTCAATATAAATGCCTATATTTAACTGTACTAGTATTTATTTTTATTAGAATTGTTATTTTTTATTATTAGTATCTGGTTATATTATTAGTTTTTATCATTAGTTTTTATTATTAGTATCTGATTATAAAGTTCCACAGATTTAGAATGGTATGTCCCATTTCTACTTCTCTCATAAGCCCTATTAGCTTTTGTGAGCAATTCTGCAGAACTTAAGGTTTTTCAGGGACACGTTTGGGATTACAACACAACAGCCTATAATTTTATAGTGTCTCTATAAAAGCAGTTTATGATGGTATTCTGTGTAAAAAATGCCCAACCTTCTGTTATAGCAATAAAACAAAAAGGTTTAAAAGAAAAATTTAATATAGTAAACTTCCTCTGCCATCTAGTTGAGGAACCTATGTCTTGTTTTAAACACCTGCTTTTCGTTAATAGGGTACAGTGAAACTTGAGCTACCTTCGGATACATGAAACTGGGACATTAAAGGAAAAGCACCCACAACCTAGAAGGTAGGACTTACCTTTGGTACTTTTGGGAATGATTTGACTCCATCGTGGCTTATATTCCTGTTGACTGATATACTGATTGAACAAGCCATCTGCAAATATCAAAGAAAGAGAGAATTACACCCTAACAGCTTACACTTTTTATTACAGCAAAAAAGACCAAAATGTAGAAGCCTACATTAAAGAAAATTACTAATATGTCACTAATACAATAGCACATTTTCATAAAATATGTGTCAGTTCAGTTTTTATGCTACCTCAAATATAAATAGCAAAGTATTCGTTGACACAACCATGTAAACGAATTGTTTTAGTGGCAGCTCATACTAAGCTTACTAAGTTTCCCCCATTTTTGTACTACTATACAAAAAAGCTAGAGAAGGAAATGGGAGCTCCAACAACTTTGGTCTAGGCCCTTGTATTTTCAGGAAAAAAAACAACTAATCCTTTAAAGTGAAAATACCATTTTTAGAGTTTTCTTTGAGTACAAAATTACATAGACATAAAAGCACCAGTAATAGTAATAGTATATTTATTGAATACTAAATGTTAGAATCTGTGCTATCTTACTTATCTGATTTAATTCTAAAAAACAGCCTTATGAATTGGGCATTATCATCTTCATTTTACAGATGTGGAAATGCATATTTAGAGAAATTAATGAATTTAACCCAAATCACACAGCTCTTGAGTGGTGGGGCTGGGACTCATGTTTCACTATGCTTTACTTACTTCATTAATAAATTCTAAATCTCCTTCTCAAGAGGAGTTGTTACAGTACAGTAACTAGTTGTTACACTAGGTACTACTATGGTCATGGGGACTGAACTCCCCACATATATCCATTCTACCCCAAATTATTATCAAGTCCTAATCCTGTGCCCCTCAACAAAGATTAGTTTAAGAATGGTATGAAACCCAATTCTGGCTAATGAAACGTGAGGATCTCTGGTGGGGGGTGTGGGGGGGCCTTCAAGGAAATGTTTCCTTACTTTTAAATGACTCTACAGAGAAGAAGAATGTACTTTTGTTCCTCTGGAAATGTTCAGAATCTGTATGCAAATGTACATTCCTGCTATAGCCCATTTGTAGAGGTCTGATAATGAAATCAACTCTATAATGATGACAGGGCAGAGAAAGATTAAGAAACTGGGTCACTGAATTGACTAACCATGAAATTTACCTTATCTCTGGACTTCTTGTTATATGATAAAATAACATTTCCTTACTTTTTAAACTAGGGTTTTCTTTGACATGAACCCAAACAGATTATAATTTATAGAGTTACCCTTACTATAAATTCTGTCATTTGACTCTGATTTCAATCTGAATAAAGGGTTCCCTTTTGCTTCATTTAGTCACTGAAAGCAAATACTTTTCCAAAGAATTTATAAGTAAAACTGTCTGTTCTCTGTGACTTGTATCCTTGCCAGAGACTGCGTAATTTACAAAAACCTCCCTAATCTCTTTCTTTTCTGGGTAATTATGAAACTCAGTGGTAACCACACCCTTCAGCTTTCAAGTCTTTCCAGATGGCTTTAACTGAAAACCTCTATCCCATAAACTCATCTAGTTTTTTTCTTTGCCCGTGGGACTTAAAAAAATTCTTGCAAAAAGAAAGTTCTCTCCTCTTAAATTAGCACTCACAAATTAGCATTTATGTTTTAATTGTTAAAGTAAGGGGAACAAATGGATTCACAACTTATTTTAGTGAGAGTGTTTCTATCTTATCACCTACTCCCCCATGGGCTTTTCTGACAATTCTTGCCCCATCCAGCCTACTCTGGCCAATACTGGTTTCCCATTACAAGAGCTGGAAATCTTTTCTTTTTTTCACATAAAATGTTGTGGGGCTCCTATTAATAGTAATGATAAGATGATAATAAAATATTAATCATAAATTTAGTATTATATAGAAGTAAAACACAGCAATTAAATTTTATTCCATTTTGTGAAAGGCACATAAAAGTTAAATGATCCTTTTTAAAAACCTTAAACAGAGAAGATAAAATTAATCAATATAAACAATGATTTTAAAATATTAATTCCACATAATGGCTAACTGAAGAGGAGAGAGAGAAAAAAGTAAAGATGGGAGTATATGGAGATAGGTAGAAAACTGAGGGAGATAAGAAAACTCAAGACATGAAAAATACAAAGCAAAAATAGACACAATTAGAAAAGTAATAAATTTCATACTTTTTAATAGTGCCCAACTGCCATATTACTAAAGTGTCCCATACTAGTTAGTTACACAACTTTTGATAAGTCAAGCAAGTTCCTCATCTGCAAAACTGGTGTTTAAGAGTTGGATAGGGCCTGAGGTTCCTTCCACACTGTGGCATACTAGGGTCCCACCACTGTTAGAACCAATATATTTACTCGAACTGTGTGTGTCTGGCTGATCCCACCTATGTTCATCTTAGAAAAGTCTCCATCTCCTCTTTCTCCTTAAGTCTTCTGTGACTATTCTGAAAAAGAAATCACAATCCACTGGGGGAAATTCTTCTAAGAGCTCTTAAGGCAGTAATCACAGGAAATAATCTGATGGATGACCCCATTCCTGATCTTTAAAGTCATTCTGAACACTGCAGGTAAAATTAAATTCTCTAATTGTTTCTTCAACTAATCCTTCTATCCCCACTCTTAACTAACCTGAAAAACTTACAAATACTCTACCCATCACGAGCTTCACAGTTTCTCTTCTATCAAACACAACTGTCCTATGAAAATATTGTCAGGAATTTTCAAGTAAAAAAAGCAAACTCTCAAACATTATACCATTTTTGTAGAATCATTTTGTAAACACACACACACAGATGAAAAGAAAAAACACTGACATACATCAAAAAGTTAAAAGTGATTTTCTTTGGTTGGCAGGATTAGGATGATCGTGATTTTTGGTTTTGGTTTTTGCCTTTGTACTTTTTTGTTTTCCCAATTTTTTTTGCATTGAACTCTATTATTATCGGAAGAAAGGTCACAAAACAACTAGATATGTGGAATTCTTTTCTAAACTTTGGAAAAACTTCATAACATATTGTTATTACCAATATAAACCATTTTCACATACTTTGTTACCCCTGAAAGGTCTCTTCTTCACAGGTCACTAGACACATTCACGTTTCTACAAGCAGTGCTTTGTACACTGACATTAGCTTGTTTTAACAAGGACAAAGAGAGCTAAATATGCACAAAGGATTTATGATCAAGCATGCAGAGGAAATTACTCCCAAAATTTAAACATTAAGTAATCCAAACTTAAAATATTAGAAATTATGATGATTTTACACTAGATACAATTAATCCTCTCTTGAATAATGACAGTTAATAGCATAACATCAGAGATGCTCAGTATATAATAAATGCTTAGAATGGAAAAAAGAGCAGGGGGTGGAGGGACTTTCCCAGCCACATGGTTGACATTTCCTTTGAGTCATCTTAATCTTACTAAGTTCCTTAAATTACAACAAACTGTACATAAAACTTCTACCTCCAATAAAGCACCAATCTTGTACAGTAGTCAAGCAAACATTAAAAAAAAACTGCTTGGCGAACTTTTTGCCTCCTTCTGTCTCAAGTAAATTCCTTTTATCTTCACTAGTCTAAAGTTCACACAATTCTCTTTGATATCTCTTACTTTTCCTTGGAGACTATTAGAAAACCTGAAGAAAATTATTTCAATATAGCATTATCAAATCTGGAAGTAACTCTCTAAAAAGATCTTACCAAAGAAGAAAGAGTTGACTTTTATTGCACACTTACTGTGTGCAAGACATCACAAAGGTTAATTCATTTACTCCTTAAAATAAATCTACACAATGGTCATTATTAATTATTGCAAAGATTAGAAAATCAAGGTTCAGAGAAATTAATATCATGCCCAAAGACTCTAAACAAAAGGTATAAAACCCAATTCCAAAGTCTAAAATCTTTTCAACTCTTCATAGAATGCATGTAAATAAATATAAACACACAAATAATAGTTTTTAAATTACAATCTAAGATTACACACTATAATAACAGACAGTAAAATTTACCTATTCAACAGCACTTCAACAGACAGCAAAATTTACCTATTCAAAAGGAAGACTGGGAAACATAACTCACCATACCAGATCATTCTACTGCAATATTAAACTGATTATAATAAAAGAGGGATAAAACTAGAACAGTTGAAATATATTGTAGTTAATTATAATTTAAAGGAAAAAATGTAATCTCCCTCTTAAATAAAGATCTACTGGTAACTGTGGCTAAAGTTTACTTTTTATGTTTCGTTTCTTCTCTGGAACACTGGTTTGTCACTACTCCAGATCACTTTCTTACCTTAAGTATTCATTCATCTGGAAGTTGTTCCAGACAACAAATGGCTAGTTTGAGAAGCTAGCTGTTCTACGAAAAACCAAAATAAAAACAAAAACAAAACAAAACACCTCTTTTGGAGAAATCCTGGCTTACCATAAGACACAAAAGCTAGAAACATAAATTCCAGCCCTCTCACACCTCTCTACACTACTATTCAACTCTATTTAATTAACTTCTTGATACTTTCATTTTATAATATTAAACCATCTAATCACTCAAAATAAAAAATGACTTAAAAAACTATGTTGCACTTTGCAGAGAAACATGATAAATTAAAGATTACCCTCATTTATTCTATTACAATACATATTTTATTGCCTCTTGCCAGGGAAACTGGGTTGTCAATAAATAGTCCAGATCAGATCTGGAGCAAGTTATATTTAGTAGCTATTTTCAATGAAATAACATGCTTAAGAATCTTCTTTCACGCTCTCAAACAGAAAAGTAGTAATATAATGTTTATTAATATAATGTTTTCTTGGTGAACAGTCATTTCAAGTGCTAAAGAAACTTTATTTTTTAATAGAACAAATTAAATTTTTCAAAATCAAACAGTCATAAGCTTGAAATCCTTGAGGTGATCAATAAAAATGCTACAAACATTAAAGCAGGGTAAAGATTTTTTTAAAATACATTGCTTTCAGTTCCTTGTTTTAATGTTAAAGAACTCCCTTTCAAGACCTAAAAACAAATGAAAAGCTGACACCTCTGCAGCCAAAATAAT